ATATAATATAATATAATATATATATATATATATATATATATATAAAGTTTTAAAAATAAAAAGAGCTAATTTGATATCTAAGATCTTGCCTATATTATATGTATTTCTTTCTGTTGTTCATATTTTTGTCTTACATACATTGAATGTTTAATATTTTTATTTTATTTGCATTTAAAATAAAATATGATTCTGGTATTATTTTATTATGTTAATTTATTTAAGATTGCTTATACGCAAAATGATAGATGCTGTAGTGCTATCAAATTTTATTTAACAAACTTTTGCATTGCTCACAATTAGTCAGCAGATATTATTTGATTTTTTCTTGCAATTTCTGCTGCAATGATATCATTAAATTTAGTAGATTATATTTTAAATTTGTTGCTTTTCTATTTGCAAAATTTATGAAAGAGATTTTATTATATACTTTTAGTGATATTAATGATCTAAGTTTATTATAGTAAGATTAATGATCTAATATTATCAATTGCATATCTTTTATTGTTTCTTGTTTGTCAAGGATATTTGTGCTTTCAACTTTTTACTGTTGGCTATTATTATATAATATATAATTGTTCTTAATTTTAAGAACAATTATATTTATATTAATTTATATTAATATTTAGGCCAATCTATATTTTATAAACCTTGAATTTTTAAGTTTTAAATTTATTAAATATAAAAATAAATATATATATGATCATCTCTATTTCTTTTTCAGATGGTTCATTACGTATCTGCGTCAGCGTTGACATCTCAAGCTCATCAAACGTCTTTAAACTCTAGAAATAATCCGGATCTTTTCGGGCAACTTCTCCGGAGAGCCGGCGGAATGGGTGACATTCGTGACTGTCCGGTAAGTAAGATTAAACCTGAATACATTTTACGAAATCTTTGATAAAATTGTAGCTGTTAAGCTTGCACGACCTGTCGCAAAATTTGGTCATCAATTTCATGGTATCCCACTTATAACATTGGATTTTACATAAATAAGAAACGTGACTCCGCATGAGTCATTTCCAATACGAGTTTTATGAATACATTCTTTCCATAAACTTATATCCAACAGTTCTAAACTTACTCGAAAATGGGACAGCGGACGATCAAAATATGAGAGAATACGATGACAAAATTATGATTGTTATTGTTTAGAGAGATTTAATAATGATGTCATGTTAAAAAATATATTTCTCTTTGTTTCCGGGTACTTAGAGCTCTTGCGGTGCAAAAATACAAATATGTCGAACCCTGATGAACCGGCCGGAAATAGTTTCTGTCGGTGTCGTCTGGGACAGCGAACGACCGTCGTTGGAGCACATCATGGACGTTTTTGCGACCGTAGGCACATCCCTTCGGCTCAGCGATGTCTTTCATAGCGTAGTAGACTCCCGATGGGGTGCCTCTACCGTGCATAATCTCGTAGGAGTGGTCACCTATTATGGAAAACATTATTCTACCTTCTTCTTCCATACGAAATTGAAGGTCAGTCTGTCTGTCCAGGTAGTTTTAGCGACGCCAGATTTTATAAGACGTAAGGTGTGACGTAATAATAAAATAAAATCGTCAGGTGTGGATCTATTTCGATGACGCCACTGTCAAGGAAATTGGACCTCGGTGGGAGCAAGTCGTGGAAAAGTGTAGAAGAGGTCGTTACCAGCCTTTGCTACTACTATACGCGACGCCCGCCGGTACTCCTGTTAATACCGAGAGCGCCCCAAAGACTATTATCCCTTTTCCGAATAGTAATGGTCTAAAGACGTCTCCAAAGAATAGCGTTCGCCGTTCGATTACGCCTAGTCCTGAGAAGCCATCCATCAACAGCACTGCCAGACGTGCCATCACACCTAATCCCGATAGTCCGCCGCACCTGTATACTCAACGAACGATTTACAGTGATTATCAGAATCTCACAGATATCCAGAACAATATATTCGGCGATCAGGTACGTTGCATAGAATGATCAATGTTTAATGTGCCATATAATACCAGATAATGCCTTCTTTTTTTTTTATTAAAAGCAAACGTGTCTTCGCATATAATTTCTTAACGTGAAAATAATATCACGCAGGGCGTAGACGCAGTTGATGGTGAAATAGAATCAAAGTATATTAGCCGTCGCGCTGTGGAAAATGTAATGCAGCAGCAGAAAAAGCAGCAAATGCAATTGACGCGCAGCTTAAGTGTGGGATCGACGCCGCAAGATGGTATCAGCATCCCCGATCATATGAACGTGCCTCGAAGACGGGATTCTGGTAATTGGTCCGGCGATCGAAACAGCGCGTCGTCGAGTTCTTCAACCACGATGGACAATACGTATTTGTATATCGTTAACAAAATGCAGAGAAACTCGGGCGTACCTAAAAGTCCTATTAGCAAATCTGGAGAATTGTCGAGTAGCAGTAGCGGTCATTACGACGCTGGTTACGACTCGTATTCTTTATCTTCCACGGACAGTCTTCCACTTCAGCAAGGATTGAAACATAATTTACAGGTGAGGCAAAAGAGATGTCAAAATAAAAATTGAGAACAGCGATAAAAATTTTGAAATATATTAATATTTTAATTGCTATTGTAAAATTCATGGGTATTCTTTCGCGCGTAATTTCACTATTACTTCTTACAGCTCGCTCAAATACCGGAAGGTTATCAACCTTCTTCCGGCGACGATTGCGAACGATTATGCAAAGAAACGGACGCGTTGCTGGACAAATCTCGCGCCGCCGAAGATGCTGGCGATCTTAATACGGCTGTCGCATTGTGTAACGCGGCCAGTAATAAAGCCAGAGCTGCAATGGACGCTCCATACAATAATCCTCACACAATCACGATAGCAAGAATGAAACACAATACTTGCGTCATGAGAACGAGGAGTTTGCATAGAAGAATGCTACAGGAACAAGTTACCATTAACGGTGACAAAGAAGGTAAGAAATCGAGATGTCGATTATTCTGATGAAATATGTAGAATAGGACATGTATAATTGATATTGTGTTTTTTATTTTTCCAGATGGACCACTCGAGGGAAGACACTCACGAGAGAATAGTAAATCGAGCCAGCATTCGAGACAAAGTTCGCGAGACAAGGGAAATCATTCTCGGCAAAACAGTCGGGAACTTCTAGTAAATGCTCCAACAACAGTGGTAGATAAACCCGCTACGAAGAGTATTGAAATTTATGCTACTTTACCGAAGAAGAAGACTTTACGTAGTAAAGCAACGGCGGTAAATGTCATTGAGGATGAGGAATATATGCTGTACGATCGTCCAACGCAAAGAACCGGCTTGTTCAGCCGTACGAAACGTTGCGAAGATGATAAAAAAGATAAGAAACGCGCGAGAAGCGAGGAGAGAAATAAGAACGTATCGAAGGATTTTTCGATAGCACCGTCTAGACTGTCACCGTCTCCAAAAGGGATAAAGATTGAGAAACCGAAGGAAACTGAGATTAACGCGACTATCATGAGAAGTACGCAGCTCAACACGGTTGCAGAGCAGAAACAAGGCAAGAAGCAGCATAAGATACGTAGGAAATTGCTTATGGGTGGATTGATCAAGAGGAAGAACAGAAGCATGCCGGATTTACGAGAAGGACAGGATGGTCAGGTAAATGTCAACGCGGAAGGATCATCCAACGTTTTACCGAAACAGTCGGTAGATGATTCCAACGTTGGTTTGAAAGGCAACGATGTAAGCCAATCACTGAGCGGTTATTTGTCAGAGGGACATCTGGAGTTTGCCGGAAATAATGGATCTGGAAACACCAGCAATCCAAATCTTGAGAGAAGTCGCTTGATGAGGAAGAGCTTCCATGGCAGTGCCGGTAAGGTGTTACATGTAGCGAAAGTGCCCCCGCCCCCACCGCTCAGAACCACTTCTCAGCTTAGCAAGTCTAAGTGTTCGGGCGAAGTGCACAATGAGCAGCAATCTGACAAAACTGCATATTTGCCGGATGGTCGGTGTGCGCCCGCTTTGTCGCAGGATCAAAATAACGTTTATTGGAATCACATGAACGCGAACAACTCATCCAATATGACAAACATGAGAAACTCAGACTATGCTGATTACTCCTCGGAGTCTCATTCGCTTCCGTTTTTACCGTCTTATAATGAACAGAACACCAATATTTCTGGAACATGTCAAACGAATTATAACAGCAAGCCAAGGATTCAGGATGATGTCGTGCAATACGCTAATGGCATACTGTACGAACCGACCTTTGTTGTCACTCGTGCGGACGTGCACAACGAGCAAAGTCCCATTAAGCAACAATTTCAGCCTGATTCCTTACCACCTTATCCCGAAAACAGCAATATTTCGCATTCGCGGCAGCCGAGCGAGGACTTTCCACCACCACCGTATCCGTTGATCCATTCGGTATCGCACTCGAGACAAACCAGTGAGGACTTCCCGCCGCCGCCGCCACCGATTGATGAGCCGACTTATCATCAAGAGATTCAACAGCATCAAGTTTCCGTTCAACCTCAACAACGCGCACAGCAACTCGAAGTGCAGCAGATTGGAAGCCTGTTAGCGCAGTTGCAAAGCAAAAGAGAACAGATTTTAACCGATGACTCGAACAAAGAGAAACGAGCGGAGGAGCACGAGAACGAGGAGAAATCTTCCAGCGAAACGTGGCTGAGAGAATTACAAGCTAAACAAGCAGAGAGGAAAATGAAGAGGCAAGGTCCTTTGAATCAGGACATTCCAAAAGTAAGAACTCCGTCGATGCCGACGATTACAGGACCGACTATTGCTAGACGCACCAGTGATTTAATGATGAATACTCTTGGACAGAATTATGACCAAGGGCGTGACGTTACGGATTGCCCGCGAGTCACTTCTTCAGTAAAAGATATGGCCGCTAAATTTGAACAAATCAAACTGCAGCCGGCTTTAAAGTCAGACACAGACGTGAAATCTCAAACAAAGCAGAATGTAAATTGCGTTTCCCCATTACTAATGTCGGATGTGCCTCAAGAAACGTCATCGATAGAGAGTACGAAATCGGCCAAATTATCTTCCGAGAATACCGTGGCTTTCACGAAAATGGAAGGTTCCAATTCTCAAACAGTTTTAAACTCTAGTTTCGAATCGAGTTCTAGCCAGAGCAGTTTTATTACAACGGTACCGCCAAACGAGTCCGCTCAACAGAGCGAATTAAATGCTGCGATGTTATCCATGTCCTTGACACTCCCACATGAGAATGGCTTGCCTGTTGATTATCCGGAAGACGACATCAGCGAAGTGGCGATGCAGAACACCATACAAAACACAACTATACTGCCAAGCGAGGAAGACATCGCTCCGAGGAAGGTGAAACGGCGGATTGGAAAGAAGAAGAGCGTGTCATTTTGTGATCAAGTGGTGCTCGTGGCAACGGCGGAGGATGATGAAAAGGACTCGTATATACCCAATCCTATCTTGGAAAGAGTCCTACGTTCCGCGATGAACAAACCTGAAACTGCTCAAGTACTGCGAGAAATCAGAAGTCTTCAGGAGGCGGAGACGATTCGCGAAAACATTGCCGCAAAATTCCAACAGCAGACTCTTCCTTTAAAGAGCGAAGCTGATAGTGTGCCAGCCACGCCTTTCCAAGATCAGCTGAGGAGCGTTAATCCGATTCCAGATACCATTAAGCCGACATTCGGACGGCAGAATTCAAACGATTCGGTCGGATCGTTAACAGATAAAAAGGGATCTTCCGGGACTTCTTGTGGAAATGAAGGCAAAGATGTTGTCGATCGTAAAGAGACTTATGCCAGCGTACTCGTGAATACTACGAAATGTCCGACGTCCTATTCACCGCAGTTGCAACAGCAGATCAGGTATACTCAGAATGGATACACGCAGTATGTACAATCCGTATATCCGCAGACGCAAGCGTCCCATCCGAGAAATCAGATTGTTCCTTTATCGCAAACCCAGAAGCCGGCCAGTCCTTACCCAACGCAAATGAATGGACAATACATTCCAAATGGAATGCAGCAAGGGAAAATGGTACCTCAGAAAAACGGCTACGGAACGTATTATCAACAGCAACTGCACAATCAATTGGAGCAACAGCATAATCAAATGAACATGAAGCAGCCGACTGTTCAGCCGCAGCAGAATACTCTAAGTCAAAGGATTCCGTCTCATAACGCCAGTCCAATAACTGTCCAGCACTCACAGCAGCAATTTTCGTATCCGCCTAATCAATCGCCAAGTCTATATCAAAGCCAATATTCCCAAAGTTCCTATCAGGGTGGTTACCCCTATCAGACTGTTCTTCCGCAGACTAGAACGGGCCAGCCGCAGTATCAGTCATCGGCTAACTCGCTTGCGTGTTATCAACAGCAAAATGCACAACAAAATGCACAAAATTATCAACAGAGGCATGACAACTATCAGCGGCAACCACCACCACAGAAGATAGAGCAACAAAGCTCTGTGATGTCTAATCAGACGTATCCTAAGACTCTGCAGAATGGTCAGATACAGCCAAACGTGAAGTATCCGCCTTATCAGCACCCCCCGCTTTCCAAACAGATGCACTTCGCGATGTCCACTGCAAAAGTCGTTCCAATGGTGACGCAGCCTTCTGTGCAAACGCCTACGGGCGTTGCGACTACTGTGAGAGCATGCGTGACACTCTGCAATCTCTGCCGAAAGAGAAACGTGATTGAACCGACGATATATTGCACGGATTGCGATTTTTACATGTCGCGTTTTCGACCAAACAATAAAGCCACATGAGCTTTGAAGATGAAAAAGAACTCTAAAGAAATATCATCTTTCAAGATGACAGCAAGATGATAGCTTATCGGTTTTATCGAATGTTGATGTATCGGTTTCGTCAAATCATCTTGACGAAAAAATGACGATCGGTCTCTTTGTGATGAGTTAATTAATTATTATGTATTAACAAGTAACAAGTTATTGACATTAGTTATTATTAGACAACAAAGAAATTTGAAATGTTTGTATTGTCTATAGTTTGAATTGTAACTTATAGTGCGTGCAGTCGTCAAAGATACAATACCGTAATTAAAAATACAATGTTCATCTTTTGCATGCAATTTAATTAATCTTTACAAAACTAGATCTCAAAAAATTAGATTAGTAAAATTAAATATATATAACATATCGATAACTTTTCAAGTAACATTCGATGAATTACCGAAATATAAATAATTTTTTTAAAACATATTTGTATAAATATTAAGTAATTGTTGTAATTGAAGACCCTTATCGTGCAGCTACTAATTATGCTCATGTATAATAGCATTGATAGAGATATTTTATTTTCTGTAATTTATATTATTAGAAAACTCGTACTTAAGTCTATCATTCAGACATATTTCGATGTTCTTAAACTAGATTAACATTATAATATGCGCAGGCTCTAATCGAATATTAAAACACCTACTAGATATTTGTACTTCATAAAATAGCTCACTAAGTATTTAAATCGCGGCGTTATTCACATTTGTAATACATTTTTATTTGTATATAGATGAATATATCACGCTTCTCTCTTAAGATCAGCAAAATCAATTCACATTGTAAATTACACTTGAGCAAACTACATTTTCTATTTCTTTTTTTTTTTGTAATTGCATATTTTTTGTTCAAATTGTATTAAGATACAATAAGTTGCAAAGATGAGAAGTTGGAATTGTGATACTAGCCATGCTACATAGAACTTATCTTGTTAGGATAGATTGTATTGCAAATTATGAAAGAAGAAACAGAGTAAGTAGGAAACAGATAAAACTTGATCTCTGAGAATGCGTGGAGTTTATTTTATGTTAACACTTCTTAAAGTTACGTGTATTAACATGCATTGCGTTAAACTGTATTACTTTACTTATTTTAAAATGCTAAATCAATGTACAAATGTTCAATTTTATACTTTTTGTATGAGTATTTTGTTTTAAAAATACTTTACTTTTATTGTAACATTAATAAAGTCCCCTTGCGATATATTCAATTGATGTTTTTTTTTTTATGGTAACACATCCCATTGTAATTCAAAGATGATGGTAACTTCAGTTGAATACGATGCGAATGAAATAAATGGGTAATAAAGACACAGTTGATTAAACATAAATACACAATTAAAATTTAATATTATATGTACAGCTGATGACAAATTTATAAACTTCATAAAAACGCATTATATATAAAATTATATAACTGTTTATTATATAACTAATAAACAGTCAATATTATGTCATGTTTTTCGTTTATCTCATCCGAATCTGCGATTCATATATTTTATGTTTCCCAATTTGATAGTAACTTAAATTAACAAATTGAAAGTTAATCCAAAAATCTCTATTTTCGTATTTATTAATTTTAATATTAAATTTTCGAATTTTTTTGATGTAGGAGTATTAAAACTTTTTCAACAAAAAATATTGTTACGTCCAGTAGACTCCTAAGATCTTTTTTTTTCAAACTACGTGATTAATTATATATATATATATATATATATATATATATATATATATATATATATATATATATATA